CCTCCTGTCAAAACTCCTATCATTCCCTGGGACCTTCCTCTAGTTCTTTGTCAGCTCATGAGGAAACCCTTTGAGCCACTTGCAACTTGCAACATGAAATTCCTGTCGTGGAAGACGGCCTTTCTGGTTGCTGTCACCTCTGCGAGGCGAGTTGGAGAAATGCTGGCTTTCAGACATGACATGCCTTACTTGTCCTTTTTGCCAGATGGTGTCTGCCTCATACCTGACATCTTGTTCCTGCCAAAGGTAGTGTCAGAATTCCACCTACGGGCAGAGGTCTTCCTCCCGGATTTCTTTCCGGCTCCGACATCCTGTTACACACTTTGGATGTGAAGCGTGTACTCCTGTTCTACCTGAACAGAACCCGCCCAGCAAGATGCGACTCCCAGCTGTTTGCCTCGTACGCACCAGCAAGCCTAGGGACTCACATCACGGCTCAGCGCCTTTCAAAGTGAATTGCAGGGCTCATCCGCCTCTTCTATCTGATTGCCAAACAGCCATTGCCTGGCCCTATCAGGGCCCATTCAACCCAAGCTGTTGCAGCCTCCACTGCCTTCCTCCACGGAGTTCTAATACCAACATGGGACATCACATTCTACCTTCGGCTACACAGTAAGGACTTGCCAGCACCCTCCTCTAGGTAGGCCACTGCTCACTAATCTCCCATGGGTGTGAAGCACAGAGACCACGTCGAAGATAAACAGGTTGCTTACCTGTAACTGATGATCTTCGAGTGGTCATCTGTGCATTCACACCACCCGCCCTCCTTCCCCACTGCTGTCAGCTTCTACATTTTCTATAGGGGTTGATTTGCGGTGGTTTGAAGGAACTGGTGGGATGTCCGCGCCCTCCCCTCTGGGCATGCGCGGTGGGGTTCCTGCGCATGCCCACGGTCTGGGCGCGAAAATCCATTAAAGAGCTTGCTACCATCCCAATCAATCCAGCGTGTGCGCACTGAATCCCATGGGTGTGAATGCACAGATGACCACTCGAAGATCATCAGTTACAGGTAAGAAACCTGTTTTGGGCGGTCCCTGGCCTGAGAGACATCTGGCTGCCCTCAACCAGGGCCAGGGTGTTTTGTGCCCTGGCTCCATCCTGGTGGAACTCTCTGCCAAATAACATCCATGCCGTGCAGGACCTGATGCAGTTCCACAGGGCCTGTAAGGCAGAGATGTTCTGCCAGGAGTTTGGTTGAGGACAGCGACGGTTCCTTCTACTGGCACTTCTACTCCCTGCCTTTCCCAGATGAGGCGGTGGTACAATTGGTTATTTTAGCGTCATCATTTAGGCCAATTGTTGTTTTACTGTGGTTTTAAATTGTTTTAACTTAAATATGCTATAAATATGACTTCTGCTGTACATCGCCCTGAGACCTGTTTTCACAGGGATTGTTCAGTCACACAGTCGGGTCTGACTCTTCACGACCCCATAGACCACATCACACCAGGCCTTCCTGTCTTCCACCTTCCTCCGGAGTTTGGTCAATATCATGCTTGTTGCATCTATAACACTCTCTGACCATCTCATCCTTTGCTGTCCCCGTCTTCTTTGACCTTCAATCTTTCCCAGCATCAGGGTCTTCTCCAGTGAGTGCTCCCTTCTCATTTGGTGGCCAAAGTATTTGAGCTTCAGTTTCATTATCTGGCCTTCCAGGGAACAGTCAGGGTTGATTTCTTTTAGGATTGACTGATTTGATCTTCTTGCCGTGCAAGGGACTCTCAAGAGTCTTCTCCAGCACCATAATTCAAGTATATTCTTCAGTGCTCAGCCTTTCTTATAGTCCATACATGACTACTGGGAATACCATTGCTTTGACCATGTGGACTTTTGTTGTCAGGGTGATGTCTCTACTTTTTATTATGCTGTCTAGGTTTGCTATAGCTTTCCTCCCAAGGAGCAGGCATCTTTTAATTTCATGGCTGCAGTCACCATCTGCAGTAATCTTGGATCCCAGGAATGTGAAGTCTGTCGCTGCTTCCATGACTTCCCCTTCTATTGCCAATGAGTGATGGGGCTGGATGCCATGATCTTAGTTTTTTTGATGTTGAGTTTCAAGCCAACTTTTTTGCTCTCCTCTTTCACCCTCAGCAAGTGGCTGTTTAGGTCCACTTTCTGCCATTAGAGTGGTATCGTCTGCATATCTGAGGTTGTTGGTGTTTTTCACGGCAATCTTAATTTCAGTTTGTGATTCATCCAGGCCAGCATTTCGCGTGATGTACTTTTGCATATAAATTAAAAAGCAGGGTGACAATCTACATCCTTGTCGTACTCCTTTTCCTATTCTAAACCAATCAGTTGTTCCATGTCCGGTTCTAGCTGTCACTTCTTGACCCTTATACAGGTTTCTCATGAGACATGTGAGGTGGTCTGGTACTCCCATCTCTTTAAGGACTTGCCACAGTTTGTTGTGGTCCACATAAACAAAGGCTTTAGGCATAGTCAATGAAGCAAGAGCTTTCTCCATAATCCAGCGAATGTTGGCAATTGGATCTCTCATTCCTCTGCCTCTTCGAAACCCAGCTTGTACTTCTTGCAGTTCTCCGTCCACATACTGCTGAAGCCTAGCTTGTAGGATCTTGAGCATGACCTTGCTAGCGTGTGAAATGAGTGCAATTGTGCGGTAGCTTGAACATTCCTTGGCATTGCCCTTCTTTGAAATTGGAATGTAAACTGACCTTTTCCAATCCTGTGGCCACTGTTGCATTTTCCAAATTTGCTGGCATATGGAGTGCAGCACTTTAACAGCATCGTCTTTTAGGACTTTGAATAGCTCAGCTGGGATACCATCATCTCCACTAGCTTTGTTGTTAGTAATGCTTTCTAAGGCCCATTTAACTTCGCACTCCAGGATGTCTGGCTCGAGGTCAGTGATTATATCGTCGTGGTTGTCAATGACATTGAGATCCTTCTTGTAGAGTTCTTCTGTGTATTCTTGCCAACTTTTCCTAATCTCTTCTGTTTCTGTTAGGTCCCTACCATTGTTGTCCTTTATCATGGCCAGCTTTGCATGAAATGTTCCCTTGATTTCTCCAATTTTCTTTTTTCCCCCATCTCCCTGGGGAGAGGTTTTATTGGGTTTTTTTCAGACCCCAAAACTACAACAGAAAATATAGGAAAGGGAACTACATCTATAGAATAAAGAAAAAAGACCCACAACTAACTAAAAACCCAAGAGTAGGAGATCATACATCAGCTTAACACCATGCTATTTTCAAAAAGCTACTAATAATACAATGAATTTAGTCGGTTATGCTAGATTAATGATCATTTAACCATCCCTTTAACTGTTTAAAGAAATTCCCAGAGCATCCCCAAGTTATTTCAACATTTTTTCAGGCACAAATCAGAGTCCTTCAGCCCTTATTTATTCTTATCTTTTCTAATCCTCAGTTTATAAGGGCTTTTGGTAACTGATGCCATTTGTTTGTAAGAAAAGGATTAATTCTTTATAGTTCTTTCTCTTCTGTCTTATATCAAATGGAATATCTTTTAAAATCCTGATATTATTGTCCCCAATTTTCAAGGGTGTTCGCGAATTTGCTTTCAAAATAGCATCTCTCACGTGTCTCTTTGAGAATCTGACCACTATTTCCCCAGGCAGATTATTTTTCTTGATGTACGATGAATAGGACCTGTAGACCACACCCATCTCACTGCAAAGGTTTTCCGCTGTTAAATCTGTCATTGGGGCTATTGCTTCACTCAGCTGTTGCTTCAGATTCTCTCCTTCAGTTTCAGGGACCCCTTGAAACCGTAGGACAAAATTTGCTGTAAAAGTTTGACTCTTCTGTAGCTTGCTTCATTTCCAGCTTTTGCACCTTTTTCTTAACTTTTTTAGTAGTGATGTCCATTTCCTTCACCTTCTCTCCCATTTGCTCTGTCTCTTTTAAGGATTGCGTCAGTTGCATCTGCTGCGCTGCCACACTCTGCCCAAATACTGACAGTTGTTGTTTAATGCCAGTGATCTCGTCCAGCAGGGGGGGCAGGGAGTCAGCCAAGAGTTTTGAGAGCTCAGTGACCTCATCCGTTCGAGGACTGGCCCTTAGTTTCGATTTCAGCAGCTTCTCTTTCTCCGGTTTCTTCCCCGCCTTCTTTTTGGATTTGTTTACTTTTCAAAAAAGTTGCTAAAGTCTCTGATATCACCCAAACGCTTTTCTGCGCTCTGGTAAGTCTCTTAAAACAGTTTTAGTCACTTATTTTTCCGCTTCCCCCACTTTCCTTCCATGTTTCATCTATGCGTTAGGGAGGGATCCCTCCCCCGCTCGCTTTCCCATCCCTCTTTAGGGGAGGCAGCTTCTTTTTATATCTTCATGCTCACTTCAACCCGACTCACAGTTCGTTGTTGGCCATTCGGCCTCGCTCGTCATCATTTGTTTCGCCCAATCTCCAAAGCTTGTCCCGGTCAGCAGCACTTGTACCATGCGGTCACTCAGCGGCAGGACCTTCAGTGCAGAGGGGCGCCTCAATTCTCCAGCTTTTGGGCATCGAAGAGGTCGTCCCTCAAAAGCCCCCTGGCCTGGAGCCTTTTACCAAGGCTCCGAGGGGGGTCGCAACTTGTCGGACCCCCTCCCACATGCTGGTGTGCAGTTTACATCCCTGGGATGTCCAGGAGATGTGTCTGCCTGCATGTCACAATAAACTGGAAGCTGTTCATGTTGATTTCACCAATTTTCTTGAAGAGATCGCTAGTCCTTCCCACTCTATGGTTTTACTCTATTACTTTGCATTGTTCATTCAGGAAGGCCTCCTTATCTCTCTTTGCTGTTCTCTCTCACAGGGGAGGGTGGCTTAAAATGTAATTAATTAAATAAGTAAATATATCACCTGAAAGAATGGTTTTAGTTTCAGGTCTAAATATACAGATTTTTCTGCATCTTTTAAATTTGGGGTGTGAATTCTTGGGCTTTTGGCATAGTGTAAAGCAGTTTTTCAAATGTGTTTTGAAAGCTTAGAATCATTTTATATGAAAGCTATTGACTGTGCATTTTGTCCTCTAGCAAGTACACATGTTTGTCTCCTTGTTGGAACGACCACTGATAAAGGCAGATGCAGCTGCCCATTACTCAACACTGCTGGAGATGTTCAATGTCGAATTGGACAATGCAAAGATTTTGTATGATGTTCAAATAGCCACTAAAAGCAAAGATGGTGTGCCTCCCATTAGCAAAAACATGCCACCGGTTGCTGGGCAACTGAAGTGGGCTTTGGAATTGCAGGAAAGATTACAGATTCCATTTAAAGACTTGCAAGCGATCGATCATCCGTAAGTATCAGTTCCTCTGTATCTTGCATTACAGAATATCTAGCTGCTGGGATTATATTTCCTGGAACAATATTAAAGGCTAATGTTGGCAAAAGATATAACTTTGACAATTTGTTTAAAATTTAAAATTCCATGTTGTGTCAGAATAGCAAGGCTGTGCGTTCCTCTCTCCAGTGTAGTGGCCAGTTCTGAAGCCAAGTTAATATATGCCAAATATGAGGAGATGATCCGTTTGCTGAAAGGTTATCGTGAGAAAATTTATGAAGAATGGATCAGCCGGGTTGACAGGGACTGTCAGTTCAACCTAGAGCAGGCACTGATTCAAAGAGATCCACAAACGAAATACATAAGCGTAAATTTCAACAAAGAGGTATGTAAATAACATATGTTTAGCATGCTAATATGTAATATGAGAGCATACATAAAAAGCATAAAGGGCATTTCTTTAACTTTGACTTTAGAAGAAGTGAAACTCAAACAGGTATGTTGCCACATAAACTTCCAGCCATCAATAACAGCTTGTCTGCCATAGATGTTTCCCTAGTCTGCACCACATCATGAGTGATGTCCTTCAGTAGAGCTCCTCTTCTAGGTTTTGTAACAGAAAAGTCAGTACCTCATTAAAGAGGTTACACATTCCTTGTGATGTTACTTGTGGAATCTGATCTGACTTATCAGAAGGGACATTGTCCCCCTTGTGTTATGAGATCAGCACAAGAAGAATAAGAATACTTATGTGCATAACTAGGAGCTATTTCTTTGCAAAACTCCACCTTGTCCTCCAAAGAGCTCAGGAAAGTATACAAGGTTTACCTCTCCTACATTTTATTTTCACAGCAGCCCTGTGGGGTTGGTTAGGCTGAGAGAGAATGACTGGCCTGGGCTCACATTGTTATTTTCATGGCAAGTCTATATACCTGAGTCTCCCCAAGTCTAGTCCAACACACTGAATCTGCACAATACTGGCTCTCGGTTGACTTCTGAAATAGTATCCCCATCTTCTTTGTCTATGTCACTAAGAACTCATACCTTTTTCTGACTGAGCAAAAGCTGTGGTGCAAAATCTACGCATCACTGGACCACCCTAGGAGCATGTAGGCATGGACATTTGGGGTCCATTCAGCAAGCCTACTCAGAGGGGTGTGTGCTGGTCCTGTTGGCCTATCCAGAAGCTCAACTGTTATCAACAATCAACACACCTTCTGTGGCAGATGCCCTCATTCCAATATTTGCCAGAGTGGAAACTTTAGGGAGATCATTACAGATGTCAGGAGTACTTTCATCTCCAACTTTCTGGAGTAGTTATGGGAACACTGGGGGGCTTAAGCTTCTATGTCCTACCATTGTGAGACAAATGGTCTCATGGAATGCTTCAGTCAAATGCGGGGGGCCGTGATTAGGAAGTATGTGGCCAAAGCATCCCAACAACTAGCATAAAAACATGCAACAAGTGCTTTTTGCATCCTGGGGGTGAATAAAGCGCTTGGGGTTCAGTCCTTTTGAACTGATGTACGATTGGGCTGGTAGGGGATCCTTGGGAACTGGTCAGAGCTCAGTCGGAAGGGGAATTAGCTTCAGCACCAACATTTGTGACCTGGAGCCAGTCACATACTCTCTCAGCCTAATCTATTTTATAGGGTTGTTATAAGGCTAAAATGGAGGAGAGGAGCATGATGTAAGCTGCTTTGGATCTCCAATTTCGAGAAAGGCAGGTTATAAATGAATTAACAATAAATATAGCTGAAGATGGGGGGGTGCAGATAAAAGGTAGGTTGGTCGTTGGGCAAAAATGAGGAAAGGAAGCAAAGAAAGATGAGGCTATGGGGGCTGGTGGGAGAAGGAAAAAGAGGAAAGAATTTGGGGAGGTGGACACAGGGTAAATTGAGGTGTCTTCCACATAAGGTTGCCAGGTCTGGGTTGGAAAATACCTGGAGACTTTGGGGGTGGATCTGGGAGAGGGCGGGGTTTGGGGAGGGGGCCTCAGCCTGGTACAGTGCCATAAAGTCCACTCTTCAAAGCAGCCATTTTCTTCAGGGGAGCTGATCTCTGTTAGCTGGAGATCAGTTGTAAAAGTGGGAGATCCCCAGGCCCCACCTGGAGGCTGGCAACCCTACCTCCACAAATCCTTTTGCATACCCCACCAAGGAGCTGGGCCTGGCCCAGCAGCCAGCATCATGCAACTGGACCAATCAACTGGAGGCACACAGCATTTTCTCAAGGAGAGGCTGCCAGGGTGAGGAAAGGAGGGAAAGCTGAAGATGAGGCAGGGGGGCAGATCAGGTTAGCTGGAGGGCAGGAAGGAGAGGAGGAAGAAGGAG